GTTTGGCAATTATGTGGACATGTGTCTTGACACCGCCTATTATATATATATATAACATATATATATATATATATATATATATATATATATATATATATATATATGTGTGTGTGTGTGTGTGTGTGTGTGTGTCTGCATGTTTTTGTATATATTTATATACACATATACGAATGCAGGTAGCGCCCCCTTACACACACACACCCACTCGAAGCAGAGAGGTGACCCCTGCTATTGACATGACTGCTTCTTCCGTTCCCCTGCAGCATAAAGTATTTCTAGATACACATTTTTGTTAGGGCATAATAAATAGAGATTGCTCGACTGATAGATTAGCTGTAAATAAAGTTGTAGAAAAATGCTTACAAAAAATACATTGATATTTACACCTGTGTAACATACATATATATATATATATATATCTCGTTTTCAAATCCGATCCGATTGGTAGATATCTTGTAAAACACTTTGAATTGCTAAATAATAAAAATACAAGTTACAACTATGTATACGTATACATGTATATATGTTCGCGTATATGTACATAGAAAAGTAATCGATTCTTATCGATAAAAATACATGAGCAATTATATATAAACTTATGCATTTATATTTCCTTAATCTTTAAAGAGTGATTGTACAAATTGTACAATTTTACTATATACCCCATTTTTTAAATAAATTTTCAAGGAGTGCAGGGCATGAAAAAGAACAGCAAAAACCGTTAACCGACAACGACCAACTGCAAACGTTTCTGTGTACATGAATCTGTGTGTGTGTGTTGAGCTGGTGAATGGGTGGATTTGAGTTGGGTGGCCGTCAGAAAAAAAGGCAAGCAAACACCGTTAGCTTTAAGAGGCGACTTTAAAGTTTTCGCTGTGCCTTGTCGTTGCTACCTAAAAGCACAAATATGCACATACATATACGCTTATGTATTACAGATATACATATGTACTTATTATGTATCTACTTATAACAAAAGTTTTGGCCTGCCTTCACTTTGAAGTAAAATTGTCGAAGCTTTCGTTCGGTGGTTGACGTTTTCTGGTTGCGCGAAGGCGGAGGCGCAAAAATCTCCACACACACACACAGCTACACACCTAAGGCTGCCGAAAAATACAACAAACAGCAAAAAGAAAAACAACTAAGAAAAAATTAGCTAGAAGCAGCAGCAGCTCACGGCGTTGCCACTTTGGCTGCTAATTTTCAATGTTCCTACTCGCATTGCATTTGTGCCGCTGCTATTCGCATATGTTATTTTATTATTGTTTATGTAGCTATATTTTGAGTAGCTTTAATTGCCATACACACTCATACAAATGAACACATGCACGCACCAAAGCCAATATGCCTTTACTACTCACACTCTCACTTGGCACTTATTCTTTTGTCGCTCTTTCCCCAAGCACTCTCTTTCTCTTTCTCTCTCATATGCTGTGCCTGCTAATTTATGCACGTTGTTCGGTTTTTGGTGTCTGTGCAAAAGTTTTTTGATTGCCCATTTTATACTCGATTCAATATTATTTTATTTTACATGCTTGAATGTATGCGTATTTGTTTGTATTTATGCGTGTGTTGCTCTCATTTTACAGCAATTTTTTTGGCAATTCGGCTACGCTGCTACTGCAGCCGCCTAGTAGTCAAAGTCAATGTGGAAGACAGTCTCATATCTCAATTTTTCCTGTAGTTTATTTTTTGGATTCTCTCATTTTACTCTCGCTCTCACGGTGTCTCTCTCTCTGTCTCTTCTATTCGTACGTTTGCCTTTTTAGCTTGAGGCAATTGACCGTTTAAATGAGTCGCCGCTGTTGTTGTGGCTGTTTTAGATGCTGTTGGCACGTTGAAATATTTTCTTATTTGGTTTTACTTTTATTTTTATTTTTTTATATACACCGTTCATCTCACTAAAGCTAAACGAAACCCTTTACCTTTGTGCGGGTAGCCACACGGTGTGGAGAGATAGTGTTGCCACTTTATTTTCAGCGTAGACAAGTTTCAAGTGGAATTGCCATGCAGTTGCTGTGTTGTTGTTGATTTTGCTCTTGTTACTTCCTTGTTTCTGTCATTCTCAACTTTGTATGTAGATATGTATATGCATGCATGTATGTATACAAGTACATACATTTGTGTGTGTGCTTATGTAACGGCGTCGCGGTTCGTTCGCCAGGCAAAGAATGCGCAAGAAGACAGAGACCCATCTCACACACACGTCAATATATATGTGTGTATGTATAAATATGCGCACGATTTTGATTGTGCATGTGTGTGGCCTTTTTTAAACAAACTCACACATACATGCATGCATTTGTATGAGCAAAAACTGAAAATCAAGCAAATTCAGCGCTTTACATTCTTTTGCATTGATCTCTTCCTTTTTTTTCGTTAAGTTTTCATGGTCGCTGCACTGCTGACGTTGGCTAATTATGATTATCACAGCAACAACAACAACGATGTCAATTTACTCAATACTCGATCTTCTTCTTCTCACAATTTCATGCAAAAACAAAAGCAGCACCAACAGAAACACAAAAAAGTGGCAAAGCTGCTTTTGGTTGATGTTTTCTTTTTTTGGCTTACGTTTTTTTTTACCTGTTTTCTCTTGCATCCCGCTCATACACACAGCCAACACTGGCCACTATACATGTACACGCGTATATGCGCACACTGTCATGGATAGAAACGCACACAAATGTAAACACGCGCGCGCTGGTTACACGTCATTAAGTGCAAAATAAGAACAGCGCATAAAAAAGTAGTATGTAGTAGTTTTTTCTTCTTTTTTTCTTTTCTTTCGTTCAGTAGTAGAAAGCGCTGCTGCTGCTGCAGCAGACTGCCAATTTATATGTGTATGGTATAGTTACCGTTAGCTATTAAAATTGCTTGTTTGGCGTTGCACTACACTAAATGTTATAGTGCAAGCAGATATATACGTGTGTGTGTGTTAACGAATGTATATATATACTTTAATTAAATTGAACTAATAAGTATTTTTTAATCTTCAGTGATTCATTTTGGGAAGAAGCAACAGTAGCGTTTCTTTAAAGCAGCTGTGTGAACAATTGCATATAAAAATATACATATATAAATATATATATATATATATATATATATATATATATATATATATATATATATATGTGTTATGTATGTATTCGAAATTATATATACATACATAAGTGTTTGTAAGTAGAGTTCGCTTATCAGCAAAAACGCTAGAAAAATGTTTTCTCTTTTCGTTGTCATTTTTTATATGCTATGCGTATATATACTAATAAATTCATACATGTGTACGTATAGAGGCATGCATGTGTGAGAGTGTATATGTGTCTAACGTTTAACATTAAGTTAGCTGTGAAAAACGCGTGCAAGTTATTATTACAGGTGTGCACATAAACTTACAAATATAAATACTCATACGTACATATGTATATATGTATGTATGTTTGTGTTTTGTTGGGTTTCTTTAGTTCAAGGCTAAAAATGACAGAATTTATGTCGGTGTCTCCAAAACTGTGCGTAACAGTTTGAGTACCGCCTAAGGCACATACATACATGTACGCATGTTCGAATATACAAATATTCACATAGTTTAACAGGCACTGAAGGCCACTTTAATTGCAAATGAAATTGAAATGAAATCTTACGCTGAGTATTGAATGAATTTCTGTTTTCTCTATTTTCTTACCTTTTTGGCACTTATCGTGTCGCATTTTTATAAATGTCAAATGTGTGTGTATGTGTGTATACATAGTATAAGAATATATATATATATATATATATATATATATGTGTGTGTATCGGCTAACTGGTTTTGTTATTACTTTACTTTTTTGTTGGGCCGCCGTCACCGCTGCTTCTTCTGCTGCTGCTGCGCTGTGTCAGGGCAAGCGACGCCGACTGTGCTGCTTACCTTTTACGTGTTACTTTTTGGGGTTATTCTTAACAAGCAGTGGACAGCGCAGCGGCAGCGCAAGCAAGAAGGAGATCGTCTCATTTTCATGTAGCATTAAATTTGTGTTTTTTTTGTTCTTATATCAGTTTGTTTTTTTTTTTCTTTTTGATGTTTTGCCAACAAAAAAATACAATCACAAATGAAAGGTAAAGCGCAAAGCCTAAAAATAGCCAAAGCATAGCAACGGCGTTGATGTCGACTGAGACGCGTTGGTAATTTGCTTGATTAAGTGGAATTTTTCCATACATACATACGTACATAAAAGTGTATTGAAATGCAGTCATAGAAAAATGTTTAACAAAAGCATGCCTAAAAAATAAAAGAAAACTATATCAGTAATACACACATACATGTACATACATATGTATATATAGATTGTTGCCTTGTCGATTTTATGTTTGCTATTGCCTTTTTATGTGTTTTTACTTTTTCGCTGAATCTTGTTGTTACTAGTGTTGTAGGAGAGACAGAGAGAAATATAGAGAGAGAGAGAGAGACATTGGGAGAGTGAGGAGAGGCGGCCCAGGCCAGGCAGTCAGCCGTACATACAGACACACGCACATACCCGCAAAGAAGCACGGTTGGATAGACAAAAGCAACGAGACGAGCGCAGCGCGCACTCTGCTTATGTACTAAAGTCGAACCCATGTGTCTGTTTATGTGTGTGTGTGAGTGAGAGCAACGCGAGTATGAGTGTATATATGTACATACACATGCATAACCATACGCCAGTGGCTTATATACAACAGTAATAATAACAACAACAATACAAAGACTACGAGAAGAGCTTTACAAGCAGCTGAGCTGCGATTTGGTTATGTATGTATGCGTGTGTGTATGTATTAAGCAAATATGCAAATTGTTATTGTAAAATTGTGAAATTCGGCCATCATAGAAATATGATGTTTCTTATTGCAGCTGATCTAAGACGTATTTTGCATAACTATATATTTACATATATGTATGTATGTGTGTACAATATGTACGTACAAACAGTCCGGCAACTTCAAGCATAACTGTTTGTTGGTAATTTTTTGAGGCTTGTGCATTAATCCGTTTTATCAGCGGTATCAGTTTTATTCAATTCAGCGTCTCTACATGACGAATTAAAAATAAAAATAATAACAACAATTAAAACCAGTTTGAAAGCTATTAAGTTGTGCAGATTTTCCTATGTACATAAATAACATATGTATGTGTGTTTGTATGTAATTAGGCATTATATAGTTGGTGACGAGTATTGGTCCGATTTAACAGAACCATCTGCCAAAACAGCTGTAAAGTTGCTATGCCCAGACCTAATTCCATTCCATTCCACCCCGACCATTCCGTCAGCTTGCCGCTTGCCACTTGCCAATTACTCAACGCTGCCATAAAAGACAGTGCAAATATGTGTGTCCGGCGATAAGCAGCAAATCCGCACTCTACAAAAACAACAAACACCAAAAACACATCAGTATTTAATATATATGTATATATTTACACGAACACACATTTATAGTTGGCGTTGCAGCGCAGTCAAATCGACGCCGGCAGAGGCCAACGACTACTGGCAGCGGCAGAGACAGAGAGGCAGTGCTGTCGCTGTCGCTGCGACGATTTTTCGTTTGTAGTGCGCGCAATTAATTTGTGCTAAGTTTTATTGTTTTTGTTGTAGGTAACCCATTTTCTAGAAATTTATTTATATACTACTTACAAGTATACACATAAAAATATTATTTTTTTGTGTTGCAATTTCCCAAAGCTTATCCTTATCGGTGCTATAAATAAACAAGAGAGACATAATTATTTGTAGATGTGCATATGTTTGTATGTACATAACTGCGAATGTGGTGAAATTTATATTAGCTCATATCGTAACGTATGTATGTACATTTACGCATATATATGTATACATACAAGCATGTAAAGTTTACTGTATTAATAGATTAGAATGACTTAACACTTTAATGTCGTATCTTAGAATTAATATACACATACATATGTATGTACATATGTAAATGAGCTCAGGTAAAGCTCTTTGTTAATTATGACTCTTAATTCTTGTTTGTAAATTAGTCGAGTGGAGTTGCCACTGCGTCGAAATGTGTGCTGTTAAGCAGCTGTTAATAGTCGAGAGCGTTGACTTGACGTCACTAATAAATTTGAACATTTCACAAGGCGCAGCTTAGATTTATGCGCCAGTGCATTTTGCAGGCTGCTTGCTTGCACCCCACCAGCACCACTAACACACAGTCCCACCATGGGGACGATGTTGGTGAGTTAATACATATGTACAGTGCCATGTACAACAAGTCGGCCGCTCTCGCTCGCTCGCACGCGCTCTCATCGCGACAGCAACAGCAGCCCACCGCTTTGCTCCTCTCTTCCGTTTGCCTTCGCTTATGTATATATATACACAATGGCAGGCCATAAGATATGCGCATTTCTTATACAAGTATATATGTACTTGTATATATAGATATTTGTATGTATGCAGTACCTACTTATGTATATTTGTTTGTTTATTTATTTATTCGTCCGTTTGTGTGCAAAGCTGCTGCGACTTGTTTTGATAATTTTTTATTTAATTCCTTTTATTGAAATGAATTGAATTATTTTGCGCATAACGCAAAAATAAAGGCGATTGCAATTGGAGTATGTTTGGTCTGTGTTCTAAGGGTCTTGGTGGATTAGCTAACCATCGATTGGAAGGGGTCACTTGACTTGTATGCAAATCGATAGGTCTGGGCGTAGTTAAGGTTTACCGTCGGTGTATGTATATATGTGCATGCGTCTGTGTGTGTTAGAGTGGTGTGGTATGCATGGGGTGGCCAGACAGTTTTCAGTGCACCCCACCCCCTCAGGGCCTCTGCCCCCAGTACTTTACTCTACTCCCAATTCGGTCGCCAACTGCCGCCGTCTGCCCGCCACTCTCATTTTGCTGTGTTTGGCTTTGGCTTTGGGCTCGCGTGTGTGTGCGACGCGCGCTCTCTCTTCTGTCTTGCTCTCTCTCTACGTCGGCTGCTGCTGCTGCTGCTGCTCACCGCAGCCGCACTCAAACACATTTTGCTTGTTGGTTGCTCTTCGCTTTTGTTTGTGTTGTTGTTGTTTCTGTTGGTGCTGCTGCTGCTCGCTGCGCTATGTACACAACTGTACTTTTGATTTAACCTTATTTCTTTGCTTTTTTTTTGCTTTGTGTGTGTCGCTGTTGTTATTGCTCGTTAGTTGTGGCCTAGCTGTTGTTATCGTAAGAGATGACTCTTATGGTAATTGACGCGCCCCACTCCAGTCGGCTTCCCACGACTGGAATTCAAGGCTGTTCTCCTGGAACGCTATAGCTTATCGGCGATCAGCTATCTACGCTGCTTATTCTAATAACCATTTACGTTGGGCAGGTGCCAACGACCGTTAGATTCAAACATGAACTTGCCTGTTCTGCAATATGCGATGTACGGTGAAAGCTCAATAGAGCAAACACATTTGTTGCACATCTGTTACTAAAAGCTAGCGTAATAATGATAATAGTAATTTAATTATCATTAAAAATAATAAGATAAACGTGTCTAAACTGCAAAAAAAATTTCATCAGCTAGCGGAATCAGCTGTCCGTTAGACTGCATACACACACATATATATATATATATATATATATATATATATATATATATGTATATATATATATGCGTGCACACCCTATTGACACACATACACTCATACACACAGAAGCGCAGAGCTTAACTTTAAGCGCTAATTGAAACACATTTAGCGCGCTATTAAACACAATTATAAACACTGAATGCCAACAAAAGCCAAAGCCAACAAATCGATATACGACGGTTTTCTATGCAGTCAATGTCAGTCATATAAAAAGTGCCGGTATTATATTAATACAAACAAAAGTACGAAAATAAAAATAATTAAAATGTTTGGATTTTCTTTTTTTCTTTTTTGTTTATTTTTTTTATCAACATGACATAAAATGCGAACAATCATTAAACTCAAATACACATACATTCAAGCTTATATATACATACATATATATGTAGAAGCTGTTATTCTCACGCTCACTATTCAAGGCACAGTGTATGACGGTATTGAAATGGGCATGAAAATTAAAAACTTAACGAAGCTGTAGTTAAAAGTCAATTTGCATATGTATTGAGAGCATGGGCTGCTCGAAAAATAGTAAATTATATTATATATAGAAAATATAAAATATTAATATTAAATATAAAAAGATATATAATATAATAGTTAAAGACAATTGAAGTGTGCCAAAATGCCTGTTGCATGTTTGGCGCACTGGCCACACTATATTGTTCCACTGTTCCGTCGCGGCTGTTCGCTCTCAAACGGCAATCTGATGACGACACAAGTGTGGAAAGTAACGAGACATAGCCGACAGCTGCTTTGGCGGGGGGAAACCAACGAACGAGTGAGCGAGCTCTATACATGCATACGCCATTTGTATGTGTGTGTGTAAGTATGTAGTGCTGTGTGGCTGCTAACTTTCAAAGCGAGTTAATTTATAGCACGTTGGGGACATTGTTGGCCAAACAAAAACAGACAGACACACACACGCACACACAAACACACATGTAGTGTTTTGCTCGCATTCTCATCATGTTTATTATATTATGTTTGATTCGCTTTTCTTTCTTGCGCCACATTTTGTTGAGGTCGTCCGCGCGGCTGTCTCTAAGCTTAGCTCAGCTTAACAAGCGTTGCCACCCGATGCGAAGCTGCCTTGTCGTTGTTGTTGTTGATACATATATATGTGTGTGCGTGTGTGTATTGCATTTATTTAATTTTAATTGGACTGTTTATTGTTTGTATCGTTTTTACTTGTATGAATTTGCTGTTTATTGGCTTTGACAGGGGCAGGTGCAATTGTTGTGGCAAAGTTTATTCACCTCGCGCTCTCACGTGTCTTGGCTTGTGCATGTGACTGTATGTGTATGTATGTTTGCCTTTGCTAGTTCTACAGCGTTCCCACTAACATACATCAATTTGCATGTGCTCTCTCGCTCTTTCAGTTTACTTGTAGCTCAACTTAACCCTCCTCTCCCTCGCCCACTTTGTTTTCATGTAAATTTTCGTTGCGCTTTGTATGCGAAAATTTGATAAAACGAAAAACGTGACTTGCTTGTGGAAGCAAACGCCAGTCCTAAATCGAAGCGAATGCTGCAAACACACATAGATTAGAGTAATATACATACATATGTATATGTGTGTGTATCTCTGTATCTTCGTTTAAATCTGGCTTGCCTGTGATTTAGTGCAGCTTTCCATTCGTATTGCCACAGGCCAAAAACCATTCGAGTCTAGAGGCAGTAACTTGATTTAACAAGGTCGTCGCTTAAATGATATGAAATCAGGATATCTTTTTTATATCCTTACACCAAAAAAAAAGAGAAAAACTCCAACGGAGATACTGCAAACCAACTGCTAAGGGGGGTTACATTCATCTTCTGATTTCCGTTTGCAAAGTGACAAAAAAAGAAGAAAAAAAAAAACAGAAATATGTAACATAAAGGTTGGTAGCAACCCTTAGCAAAGAGCAGACCATGATAAAGTGCAGTAAATACTCGCTAAAGTGAACAGAAATTATTATAGAAGCTCGATACATAAAAACAAACTAATCTATTAAATAACCCATGCATAAGACATGATATGCAACCAAATTAAATGTACCTAAATCTAAATCGTTTATCTTATATCTTTACAGCTAGGTCAAGATACGTCATCACGACGACGCGACGCGCGAAAATGGCCAAAATGGAGGTCGACGATGTCGTCGACTTGAGTCTGAGCTCTGGCCGAGATCCGGCGCTGACAATAACGCCGGCCACGACGCCAACGCCGACGCCAACAACGATCAGCAATCGAGATTTACGAGCGTTAACGGCGAATAATACCGGGCTGACCATAACGCCAGCTCCGGGACCCACAGGAACAGCTGCCACCGGCAATGGTAACGATAACAACAACAGCAGCAATAGCAACAGCAACAACAACAACAGTAGCAACAACATCAGCAGCAGCAGCAACAACAACAATAACAGTAGCAGCGATGTCGCCACGGCGGGCAGCGGCGGCGGCAGCAGCAGCGCACAGGATGAAAATAAAGTTCAACGTCGCGTCCTGCGTCCTCGCACCGAACCCAAATCGTATGCCGAAGCACCAGATATTGTGCTGCTGCCAGCGCGCACGAATGGCCGGCAGCAAAATGGCAACATTGATTCGGAAACCGATGACGAGGAGATGCCGCCGTACGTGCCCATCAAGGAGCTGACGCATGCGGAGCTGAAAGAGCGTGAGAAAAGCTTGCGTAAATTGCGACAGGATCTGCGCAATGAGGAGACGAAGCTGATGCTGTTGAAGAAGCTGAAGCAATCGCAACAGGTCATGAAGGAGAATCTGGTGGTGACGCCCACCAGTGTGTCGCCCAACAATCCACTCGCTGCGATACCCAGTGCTCTGACAGCGAAAGGGTCGCTTAGTGTAACGCCCACGTCGGCGTTGCCGATGCCGGCCCATAGCAAGGGACGGAGTAGCTTGGGCGGTGGAGCTGCTGCTGTTAGCATAAGGTGAGCAGTAGTTGGAGCATTTAATAAGTTATCGATAAATATCGATTTGATGTGACATTAAATGTGTTGAGTTATTGGGGCGCTTTTATGGTATATTATTAATATTATAGACGAAGTAGCAATATTTTATGAAACATTTTAAAGAGAATTATTAATTGGGGTATCCATGATCACAGCTAGAAGTAAGAAT